TGAATTGAATTCTACCCTTGAAAGGAGCGTGAGGGGAAACCGCTTATTCTCCATGAACATATAAGGGGAAAAACTCTTTTATTATGCTCTTCAGCTTTCCTTAACGCAGACCCTGCTAATTAGCTGCCCCGCTCTGTTCTTAAAGTGACAGTTCCCATTTGGTATCCTGAAGCAGGTAACACGATATTACACTTCTAATTTTTTCACAGAATCACTGTCAACGAGGACAGGTGGCAATTTTTTTCTCACTATCTCCTCTCCTCCTCCTCTTTAAGTGAATCCTTGGGAGATATTCCAGCCAAAAATACTTCTCCAAAGCAAGCAAAAGTGATGGGGGGAGGAACAACGTATGATGCCCCAAAGAGATTTCAGGCTATGCTGGTCTATTTGTACAGCTGTCTGGCAGCACTACTGCGATATTCTGCTCAGAAGGTCTTGGTCGTCAGCACTGCTACAGCCTACGGGGCTCTTCGTAGTTGGCAGAACTGGGGGCGCTTGCCTCATCGCTTGGTTCTGGGTACATTCGCCTAATTTGGATGCATTTGGGAGGGAGAGGGGATCTCATTTAACTTCCTCCAAAGATATATTGCTACTGAAATGTGGAGAGCCACGATGGTCACACTAGAAGCGCGTCTTGCAAAATCATTTTTGCTGTCAGATTGTGCAGTTGCTTGATAACATCAAGTTTTACTTTTGTGTTTTCAGTGCCTGAAATATCACCGTATTTATTGTTCAGTCTCTTCCAGATTGCCCAAAGCACTGTTACTTCATAAACCAGGGCTCAGAAAAATCGCATTTAGCAGGAGCCTTGGTCAGTAAAATCCCATTTAGCCATCCAAAGTGCGTGCCTGGAGTAATAGAGATTCTTCGACATCAAGTGGCATTTAACACTCTTATTAGCAGCTGCATTTCTGAGAAGCATATAAATGAAGGTAAATTGTGTGGTTGGAAGCAATGGCAGAGCATTAGAGAGAAATTAGCTTCGAAGCTGGGTGTTAACAGATTTACTGTTCCCTTGCCAAAGCTCTCATTACTTGCAGAGTATTTGAAATGATAAAAAAAATCCTTAATTCTAGTATTACACTCTGATGATTTTTTTTTTTTAAATCTCCTAGGCCTGCCACTTCTATAAGCATAAATGAAGTTGCTAGACGAACGAATAATTACATTTAAATTTTGGCATGTGATTCAGCCAGAAAGTATCCAGGTTCAATGGGTGGATATCACTAAATATTAATTTTATTTCCAGATAATTCAGAACTGCTTTACTTTGAAGTGGTACCACAGAAGACCACCAGCTTTTCTGTCTTTTTCCTTCACCCTGTGAAGGAGAATTTAGCCTGTGGTACGTACGGAATAACTGATACTGTCCTCTTTTTTGGGCTCACAAGGGACTTGGTTCTATCTAGGCTCTTGCACTATGCTTCTTGGCTACAAATAAGGCTACTCCCAGTGGTGTGCAACCCATGAAAAACACAAAGTATAAACTTCTTACTAAAAAGTGTTCTGTATTCATCATAAACCAGAAAGTAAACACAAATATTCCAGTCTTGTTCTGTCTTAGCCTGAAGTTAATTAATAAATCATAACTTCTATAATTTCTGATTTAAGTACATTAGGAAAAAGGAAGTCTTACGCAAGCGCACTGCTGCAAGCCCCTCCCCACTGACTTCAGTTTTACTTCTCTTGAAAACATCAGAATGAAAGCATGTTTACCAATATTTATAAAAATTTATTTTAAAATACTTATACTCTGCTCTTCCGTAGTGGAAATTGATGTTCTAACCTCCAGAGAAGTCCAATGTCACCTTCATTTAAATCCTCAAGACCCAACTCTGAATTCTAGTGATAACTTTATAGCAAGAGCCCTGAAGCAGTAAGTAGCTTTATTTTATTTCATAACAGTTGGAATGAACTTCAGATGTCAATTTAATGGAAATATTATGTGCATTCACAATGCTCTAACTCAGAACCAGAAAACTTGACTCTAGTAAAAAGTTGTAAGAGTGAGAATAAGTTACTTCAGTGTCTTCTCTCTGAAAAATTTTAAACATTAATAATGATGGAAACAGATTCTTTCCAGTAGAAAGCACGTGGGGTGGGGAAACTGGAAAGATGCTTTTTTCTTTTGTAAACACGTTTTTCTGAAGACTCTAGCTGGTCAGAATCTCATCACTGGCATAACTTATATTAGCAAGGAAAGGACTTTTTCCACATCTACTTGATACCCATCAGCGCTTCCTTTCAGAAAGTGAGGCGTATATTGCATGGCTACCACACTGTCCCTGGCTTAGTTTCTAAAGACAAATTCCAAGACAGGCAAGTTGCTCTGATATACAAACATATGCTAAAGAAAGGACCGAGAGCACTAATTCATTTGGCATGAGCTACTATACAACCGTATACAGTATATATTTGATGACAGCAAGATCAATGCAGGCTGGATTTTGAACCTGTTTAATTAGCTCGCCCTGTCCTAAGTCACAGGATATGAGATACTATTCCCAGACCTAGGGAACTTTATTGTTAGAGCAGAAAAAGCCACTCCTAGTGTAGACAGTGTCTTAAAGACGACATGCTCTGTGCCTTATGCAAAATATCAAAGTTACAATTATAAAATTCAGCAAGAATTAATATATTTCAATATTATTAGTTTACATTTTCAATAAAAGCACCCTTATGACTTTTTTTTTTAATGACCAAACCCTATCAAAGTTTCTTTTCATGCTAAATTCCAAGATCCAGTGCTTGATTTCATTGTGTCAACACGCGTTTTTGGTATAGCACCTGTAACTATACTGTAATTACAACGTAATGCCTGTTAGGCTGTAGGAGGCAAAAAGACGCAAGGAGGTAGCGCCGTTTTCAATTCAGGTGTCAGCCACAGTTTGAAAACAGACGTTGAAGAACAGGTGAAGTCTGTAGCAGTGACTAATGTTTCATTTCCTCCTTCAGCTGCATGTCAGTCCCAGTTGTCATGAGAGCTATTTTCAGGAACGCTGCCAAGGTGGAAGCCGATGGTGAAACACAAGACATGGAAGCAGTCACAAAACGAAAACCTGAACCACTGTGTGAGCAAATTATGGATTCAAATAGTCCCAAAGAAAGTCCTTCTGTGGCTGGTCAGCAAGATTTGGTAGTGACGGATAAGCCAAGTGTTAAAGACAGCCCAGAGGAAAATCTCTCTGCAGCCAAACTGGAAACTCTGGGTGATAACATGGAAAAAAGTAGCCCCACAGTAAGCACAGAAGCTTTGTGCAGAGTGGAGGAAAGTAATTCCCCAGCTAGTACAGAAGCTGTTATGACAGATAAGTAAAACACACAGTCTATTGCTGGATAATCAAACAAGAAAGAAATAGTTTTCCTTGCCGTAGATTGCTTTTGCAGAAGTAGCTGGGGAGAACTTGGCAAGCTCACTGTCCATTCAGTAATTTGTGAATGGAGTTTTTGCTTTGCACACTATTAAATACACAGAAGTAATACTCTTGAATTTGCATTTTTAAATGTCCAAATTTGGGAAGTCTAACACTGCTCTAGTAACCTCTATTTTTGTCTGCACCATATTCTACCACAGTCTGGGAAAAAAATTTCTAACATACATGATACAGGCTATAACGTAACACATGCACTTGTGGAAAAGTAATGTTTATCCATGTCAACATTCTGCTAAATAAACTGAGAAAGTTGTTAGAACGATTTTGCATTTATGTAATTAATTCAGACAGCCCTATTTGTCCACTATTTCAAAATGGATGCAATAAGAGATTCTTAATTGCAGTTTTGTTTTCCCCTAATGTGGAAGCAGTACTGAACAGCCACCAAATTTAAAATCTACCAACTCCATGGCAGAGTAAGAGTCTTTAGTAAAGAAGTTGTAAACTTAGTCTCTGAAAATCAAGTAATTTTCACCTTAGCTTTTTTTCTGACCTTAAAGTATAAAACTGTTTTGTGATTCAAAACGTCTTTGTAAGTTAGCTGTTCAAAATTTCAGTTTGTCTAGACCTGCTTTGTCTCTGTTTTTTCTTCAGAAAAGTTACAAGGAACTTAAAACAAGTGAACTCCTAACTTACTGTAAACCAGTTTAATTAGTGTAAATCAGACACATGCATTCACAAGGAAAAGATTTCCTGACGAGAGCAATTTGCAGCTTCGGTTAGGGCAAGCAAAAGGAAAAGGAGTCAAGTATAAACATTGGCACAGAAACACAGAGTTGCCAGTCACAGGCAGACATGGTTGACAACTTGTTTCTAAAAGAAGGCGAATAAGCCCAGCCTCCTTGAAGAGTTTGGGAAAACCAGTATGAGAAAGATTAGAGGGACTGGCAAAATAAATATTAATATAACATAGTTCACTAGATTGGAAATGCATTCAGTGTGGTCTAGCAGGAGAAGAGTAGATGGTCTAGCCGTAAAACAGTGGAATTGTCAGTGATTCAGCATTTCAAGAGAATGCTGTGCTTTCAGTAAAAGTGAAATAAGTAGAACTGTACAAAGAGAAAAAAAATAGTTTTTAACTGTGAAAGTGCATGGCATGGAGGTTACAAAAGAAACAGAATTTGACAAAAGGTGGAAAATGTCTGTTATTCTATACAGCGACAAGAGAGAGTCACAGCATTCTAGAAAGCAACACTAAATCCTGCTCTGTTTTGCACAGAGATGGCATATCAGCACCAGCAGCTTATTCTGCAAGAATAGCTTGTCCATAGCAGTAGACAAACTGGACATTTTTTAGATATTAGATGGAAGCTATTTAGAGGGGCTGCTAAAGGGACTTGCTGCCCCTTTCCACTCCCTCTTTCTGTGAAAGCTACGTCTGAGATTGAAAGCAAGGGAATCTTCTTCGCAGGAGCCAAAGCATGGTGAAGATTTATAGATCTCCTCTACTGGCAAGTATCAAAATCAGATTTCCCAAAAACAAAGTGATGTGCCAGCAAGGATGTGGTCCACAAACTGCAAATCAAATCCAGTTGAGATAATTTTAAATGCCATGAGACGGAAAAGCTAATGTTCCAGTTTCTGGACATGGTGAAGTATATCTAGCGATAAGCCCAGTTGCTCTACTAGCCAAATAGTCTCCTTTTTAACCCAAGCCAAGGTCGACTTTTCAGGATCTGTGCAGTGTTTTGCCTTACTGCACTCGAACTGCAAGGAACCAATCTCAGCATTATTTCTAGAAATATTTCCACCAGAGCTCCCGACATCTTCATGTTTTCCAGCTTTACCGTCACTGTAGTCTGTCCCAGCTGGAGCTGTGTGATTAAGGTCCAGGTCCTCAACAGAATCTAAAACGTGTCCGAGATGTGGCTGTTGTGTGGCAGAATTCAGATACTGAAGCACATCTTCTTCATACTTTCCAACCACGTCAAGAAGATTATTTATCTGACTTAAAGCAGAATCTTGTCCATTAAAATGACACCAGGATAAGAGAGCACTGAAAAGTGAAGAAAAAAAGGAAAAATACAATTGATTACATGTACCCACACAGACCTTCAGTTGCTGAAGACAGAGAGCAACATGTTTTCTACACTATATAAACATATATATGTGTCATTCATATTTTCTGGGAAATTCAAGCAGTAGAACTAAATATTAAGTTTAAAGATTCTGATTCAGCTCATTTTTGAAAGAGCAATTATTATTTTTAAGAATAATCATTCTACATGCAGGTAGGCAATTCCCTGTATTCAAGACCTGAGAATCCTCATGTTGCTCATTTTGGACAGATTTACAATGCTTTTTTAAATTAAAACAAACAAAATATTGCACACATGCTCCCTCTGTACACACCCTCCACACACACACACACACAAACACCCAACCTTAAGGAGTGTGCAACCTACTTCAGAGTTCCTCTGAACTGGCCGCACGTAACCATCAGCTCAGCACCACGCCTGTAACCTTGATTAAAGCCCTCCTGGAGCGCAAGTTCTTTCCCAGCCTCAACTCCATCCCTATAGCCTTCCTAAAATAAAGAGTAGTGAAGCAGGTTGTTTAGAAGATTAAAAGTTGGACCTATGACAATTTCATAGCAATTAAAAAAAAAACCCAAACATGTATTCAGTCTCTTAAATCACAGTTTCTAGATTTGAACAAGTATTTTCAGAAACACCAAAAAATATAACAAATCTGCAGGAAAGCAGGCTTGATTTTATGATAACCAGCCCTTCTATGAAAAAATCCTTAAAGAACACCACACATGGTTTTCTATACATCTGAAAATAAACAGGCTGCAAAGCCCACCCCTCTTTAGATCCTCCCCGGTCTGTAATCCATCTGCCTGTTTTCACAAAACTAATTATTGAGCCTTGTTTTTCTATTTGCCAGATCTCACTCAATTCAAGAGTTATACCACAAAAAAAGAGGGTGACAAAGTGAGTCACATAATATATCATCTTCTGAGAGATTGCTTTCTGTTAAAAACAGCTAATGATTGTAAGGCAAATTGGTTCCTTTATATTCTAACCAGATTACCACAAAACATAGAATAATTCTTATATTTTTTTCACACCAAAATTGCAAGTTGTAAAAGTGAAAACTTCTATTTGCTCACGAGAGAAGAAAACTGATGGCCTTGCTAGAGAAACAGCCAGGAATGAGAACATTTCTTTATTTTTCCCAGCATAGAGCTCTAATCTCAGTAACGTTTTATGATTTCATAGTATCTATTCACAAGTTACCAGAGGGATTTGTGCAAGAACACTAAGCAGCCCCCAAAGAAAACCAGTCTCTTCAATGGACTCAGATGCAAGGAATTTTTCCTTGGAGAATACTACAACAGCTCCACTGTAATACCCTTCCTCATCCACAGCCGACACAAGAAGTTCCATTCATGCTCTTCAGCCAAACGCAGCACAGGAGCCTACACACCCCACCCCAAATGATAATGTACCTGCTGAAATAACCTGAGTTTATGCCCTTGTTTGGTTCCCTGTGGAACTCCAGAGAGTGAAGAGCCTTGGAAACCAGCTTTCATTAAATATATTTTTCAGTAGAAGAATAAATAAGCCAAAGAACTACCTAGACCATAACATCCAGTTGTGGTTCCACATGGAGTCACACAGCTTAAATCTGCCTTATGAAGAACTCTACTTAAAAATCCAAACATCTCCTATTTCTTTATTAGCACTGTTTAGCCTGTGTTGCTCTACATTTACTAGTGGTACACCGACAAGTATGAAGCAAATAGCTCACACTGGAATGTAGCACTGCCTTTTACAGATGTTGTACAGAGGGAACCAATATCACGGTAAAACAGTACTTTGCTCTGATGACTACTGGGATAGAGTGTCTGTAAGTGCCTGCTAAATATCTCTGACCTTCACAAGAAACTATACCACACCAACTTTTAAGCAGCCACTCCTAGTTTTCTGATTTAATTCAGCCACATGTATATCAAGGTATGTATCAGTAAATCTAAAATGGTTAAAATACTATTAAATCATTGTTATGGAAATACCTTCAATCTTTTTTTCATGGTGCTGCTCCATTCTTTCTGCAGCAGATACATCTCATCTGCATCTTCATCAAATATATCCTCGCTGGATCGGCTGACTGCAGCTTGCACCCAGGACATAACAGCAGCGATGACTATGATCTCTGATCAGGCGGCAAGAAAAACACTGAGAAACTCTCAAAAGTCCCTCTAGCTAAGTGTCAGATTAGAAGTAGGGGCAAGAACCATGAGTTCTGAGGAGAAGCCATGTCAGGAGCTGGTTATTTAACTCGTACATTTGTTTCCACGTGGGAAGCAGACGCTGTTTACCATCAGGGCGCATCTGTCAAGAGAGGGCAATCAGATCACCGCTGGGAAAGTAACTTCTGTAATTTACGGAGACAACTTTAAGAGGGTACCTTCTTCTCGTGGCAGTGACACGCACATGCGTGTCGGATTAGCGTTTCTGAATGGCACCAGAGCACGAACAGCAGGCGGAAACAGCTTTATGACTTGATTCTGATCGCAGCCAAGCAGCCCGGCACAGCTCCTGTGCAACACGTTAATAACTGGCAAGAACCTTTGCTCTTCAGTCTCCTGGCTACGCCAAATACTTAACCACCTTACAAATCTTGAGCAGAAATGCCCCTTTATACTTTCAGTTAAGATCGAGCTAGTTCTACCGGGGCCAGAGGTGCACCTGCCGTCCCCACACCCTGCCCACACCTCGGCCGAGCTCACTGGCCAGGACCCCACTCGCCATTTGGCGGCC